TTGACGAAGTCATCCACAGAGAGAGAGGAGGAGGGGGGGGGGGAGGATTCAGCAGGGAGGAGAATGTGGCAAAGAGCTTCCTAGGGTTAGAAGAAGATGCTTGGAATTTAGAGTGGTAGAAAGTGGCCTTAGCAGCAGAAACAGATGAAGAAAATGTAGAGAGGAGGGAGTGAAAAGATGCCAGGTCGGCAGGGAGTTTAGTTTTCTTCCATTTCCGCTCCGCTGCCCTGAGCTCTGTTCTGTGAGCTCGCAATGAGTCATCAAGCCACGGAGCTGGAGGGGAGGACCGAGCCGGCCGGGAGGATAGGGGACACAGAGAGTCAAAGGATGCAGAAAGGGAGGAGAGGAGGGTTGAGGAGGCAGAATCAGGAGATTGGAGGGAGAAGGATTGAGCAGAGGGAAGAGATGATAGGATGGAAGAGGAGAGAGTAGTGGGAGAGAGAGAGCGAAGGTTGCGGCGGCGCATTACCATCTGTGTAGGGGCAGAGTGAGTAGTGTTGGAGGAGAGCGAGAGAGAAAAGGATACAAAGTAGTGGTCGGAGACATGGAGGGGAGTTGCTGTGAGATTAGTAGAAGAGCAGCATCTAGTAAAGATGAGGTCAAGCGTATTCCCTACCTTGTGAGTAGGGGGGGACGGTGAGAGGGTGAGGTCAAAAGAGGAGAGGAGTGGAAAGAAGGAGGCAGAGAGAAATGAGTCAAATGTAGACGTAGGGAGGTTGAAATCCCCCAAAACTGTGAGGGGTGAGCCATCCTCAGGAAAGGAACTTATCAAGGCGTCAAGCTCATTGATGAACTCTCCAAGGGAACCTGGAGGGCGATAGATGACAAGGATATTAAGCTTAAATGGGCTAGTGACTGTGACAGCATGGAATTCAGATGAGGAGATAGACAGATGGGTTAGGGGAAAAATTGAGAATGTCCACTTGGGAGAGATGAGGATTCCTGTGCCACCACCCCTCTGACCAGATGCTCTCGGGGTATGCGAGAACACATGGTCAGACGAGGAGAGAGCAGTAGGAGTAGCAGTGTTTTCAGTGGTAATCCATGTTTCCGTCAGCGCCAGGAAGTCGAGGGACTGGAGGGTAGCATAGGCTGGGATGAAGTCAGCCTTGTTGGCAGCAGAACGGCAGTTCCAGAGGCTGCCTGAGACCTGGAACTCCAGGTGTGGGGTGCGTGCAGGGACCACCAGGTTAGAGAGGCAGCAGCCACGCGGTGTGAGGCGTTTGTGTAGCCTGTGCGGAGAGGAGAGAACAGGGATAGGCAGAGGCATAGTTGACAGGCTGTAGCAAATGGCTACAATAATGCAGAGGAGATCGGAATGAAATGAACTAAACATATGGGAAAGGAGAGAGTAGGGCCTCCCTCACCAAAACTCCCAAATATAACTCTTCCAACTTCCACCTCAGAAACTATAATTGTTTCACTGAACCACCCGAATAAAACTCTCCCAACTTCCACTTTAGAAATTAGAATTGTTGTGAACTACAGCGGTTCAATGTTTCAAGGAATAGACTCAACTTACTTTATTCAGCTAGCTAACTATGACGCCATAGCTAACTAGCATGCTAGCATCCAATAACACACAGTTTAGCACCAATACTTGGTTACAACAAACTACCAATAGTGTGTTAACACACTAAACAGATAATTTGTGTCCGTGTCTAGTTCCTTTCATAACGCAGCAATAATTAAACGTTGGCTAGCTAGCACAAATATATTGTATTTAGCTGCTACAGTACAGCTAGATGGTCGTGTTGGCTAGCTAGCAATGGCTGCTGTGTTGACTTTGTTTGAAAAACGGCGGCGCTGCGAACAAATGTAGCTGGCTAAAAGGATATTGTATTTAGTTGCTACCGTTGCTAATAGCTACTCGCCAGCTAGTCCAGGAGGTGAGTTAGCTAGCTAGCTAGCTAGCTTCGTGCTACACCCGGCACCGCCGAATACAATGCTAACCTACAATAACTACCCACAACAGCCCACGATGCCTACCTACAATACCTAACTACAATCTAAATACATAGTTTAAGCCTTACTCGACAAAGCCCAAGCTATGTATAAAGCCAAACTTACCCGACGCCAGCTGTCTGGGTGGCAGACAAGAAGACGTTGGTCTTCTGCAATCAGTAGCTGTAATTAAGTACAGTAGCTACTAACTACCTAACGTTAATGCCTCAGATAATGAGGTTAGAAAAACAGCTGAATGGTAGGTAGCTAGCTGGCTTAATTACAGGTACTCTTAAGCGTGAAATAACATTGGAAACAACTATCCACAGTTGCTAAAAGTTACCAGTAGCTACCCGCTAGCTAGCTAGCTAGCTTTATTGGTCCAGGTAGTGGGTTAGCTAGCCTCGTGCTTCGCCGGGCTCCGCCGAATACAATACTTACCTACAATAATTACATACAATAACCTACAATAACTACCTAAATAAGCTACCTACTACCTACAATACCTAACTACAATACCTACCTACAATCTAAATACATGGTTTAAGCTTTACTCAACACCATATAAGAAGCCAAGCTTACCTCCTGCTAGAGAAAACCACACAGAGTGAGTCCATGCAGCTTATGTGACTTGTTAAGCAAATGTTTACACCTGAACTTATTTAGGCTTGCTATAACAAAGGGGTTGAATACTTACTGACTCTCAAGACATTTCAGCTTTTCATTTTTAATTAATTTGTAAAAATGTCTAAAAACATAATTCTACTTTGACATTATGGGGTATTGTGTATAGGCCAATGACACAAAATCTACATTTAATCACTTTTAAATTCAGGCTGTAACACAACAAAATGTGGGGTATGAATACTTTCTGAAGACACTGTATGTCATGTGAATTAGGCCTCAAGTGAAATCATTGTCAAAAGCGCAAGAGATAGGCCTACTGTTGCATGTAGGTCTAGATTATTTATGGGTTGGTCATATAGAAATAACAAAACATTCTTTCAACAATTCCAAAGAAATTGCCTGTCTGTGGCACAGGAACCACTGACTCACTGCCTTTTTCTACAGTTGAAGTCGGAAGTTTACATACACCTTAACCAAATACATTTAAACTCGGTTTTTCACAATTCCTGACATTCCTGTTTTAGGTCAGTTAGGATCACCACTTTATTTTAAGAATGTGAAATGTCAGAATAATTGTAGCGAGAATGATTTATTTCAGCTTTTCTTTCATTCATTACATTCCCAGTGGGTCAGACGTTTACATACACTCAATTAGTATTTGGTAGCATTGCCTTTAAATTGTTTAACTTGTGTCAAACGTTTTGGGTAGCCTTCCACAAGCTTCCCACAATAAGTTGGGTGAATTTTGGACCATTCCTCCTGACAGAGCTGGTGTAACTGAGTCAGGTTTGTAGTCCTCCTTGCTCGCACACGCTTTTTCAGTTCTGCCCACAAATGTTCTATAGGATTGAGGTCAGGGCTTTGTGATGGCCACTCCAATACCTTGACTTTGTTGTCCTTAAGCCATTTTGCCACAACTTTAGAAGTATGCTTGGGTTCATTGTCCATTTGGAAGACCCATTTGCGACCAAGCTTTAACTTCCTGACTGATGTCTTGAGATGTTGCTTCAATATATCCACCTAATTTTCCTTCCTCATGATGCCATCTATTTTGTGAAGTGCAGCAGTCCCTCCTGCAGCAAAGCACCCCCACAGCATGATGCTGCCACCCCCGTGCTTCATGGTTGGGATGGTGTTCTTCAGCTTGCAAGCCACCCCCCTTTTCCTCCAAACATAACGATGATCATTATAGCCAAACAGTTCTATTTTGGTTTCATCAGACCAGAGGACATTTCTCCAAAAAGTATTTGAAGCAGTGGCTTCTTCCTTGCTGAGCGGCCTTTCAGGTTATGTCGATATAGGAATTGTTTTACTGTGGATATAGATAATTTTGTACCTGTTTCCTCCAGCATCTTCACAAGGTCCTTTGCTGTTGTTCTGGGATTGATTTGCACTTTTCGCACCAAAGTACGTTCATCTCTAGGCGACAGAAAGCGTCTCCTTCCTGAGCGGTATGATGGCTGCGTGGTCCCATGGTGTTTATACTTGAGTACTATTGTTTGTACAGATGAACGTGGTACCTTCAGGCGTTTGGAAATTGCTCCCAAGGATGAACCAGACTTGTGGTCTACAATTTTTTTTCTGAGGTCTTGGCTTATTTCTTTTGATTTTCCCATGATGTCAAGCAAAGAGGCACTGAGTTTGAAGGTAGGCCTTGAAATACATCCACAGGTACACCTCCAATTGCCTCAAATTATGTCAATTAGCCTATCAGAAGCTTCTAAAGCCATGAAATCATTTTCTGGAATTTTCCAAGCTGTTTAAAGGCACAGTCAACATAGTGTATGTTAACTTCTGACCCACTGGAATTGTGATACAGTGAATTATAAGTGAAATAATCTGTCTGTAAACAATTGTTGGAAAATGTACTTGTGTCACGCACAAAGTAGATGTTCTAACCGATTTGCCAAGACTATAGTTTAACAAGAAATTTGTGCAGTGGTTGAAAAACGAGTTTTAATGACCCCAACCTAAGTGTATGTGGGGCGGCAGGTAGCTTAGTGGGTAAGAGCGTTGTGCCAGTAACCGAAAGGTCGCTGGTTCTAATCCCCGAGCCGACTAGGTGAAAAATCTGTCGATGTGCCCTTAAGCAAGGCACTTAACCCTAATTGCTCCTGTAAGTCGCTCTGGATAAGAGCGTCTGCTAAATGACGTAAATGTATGTAAACTTCCGACTTCAACTGTATATCAAGACACCGGCTGGTAACTCCTAACTGCTTAGGACAGCTCATAAGGTCTTAAATATCTGTCGACTAGGTGGGACTCGACTTAAGGCTTCTTGCATAGCTTTTATTTTTACCCATAAGAGTAGGAATAAAACGTCTCTATTCTCAGCATTTACGACCAACTTTCTATTCTGAGACACTTTGTGGATACAGGCCCAGATCAGCACTACTATTCATTGAGACATAGAACAAAAAACTAGACAATGTAAAAATGCCTTCTAACTTTATTTGAAACTTATATGAACAGGCACGTACAATAAGGTTGCGAAAGCCAAAAATCTACTGACAAAAACGGCTAAGTCTCTGTAGCACTCACTTTTTAAAGTCATACCACAGAGAAATGAACTGTATCCAGGAATATCATCCAACCTTTACAATATAAATTAAGTCTCAAATGGTCATGCACTCCTGAGTGAGGATATCTGATCAATACTATTTTATTTTCAAACCGTTGACAAAACATGTACATGAAAACAATTATCCCTGCTTTAAAGCTGAAACAGCGCCACTGGTCACCCCCAGGCAGTTTATTGTTTTTGAAAAGGAGTTGAGCATCCAGCAACATACATTTAAAAAAAATACAAAATAAAATTGCAGCACATACTCTGCTGTTCTCTCACGCGTGCAGTGATGTGCAATATCTGGAGGGGGGAAAAAACATTGTTCGAAATAACATCTTTGTTGTCGTAATATCGCAAAAGGACATGGCAGTTTCACTGAAACGGATTCCAACTTTAAAGAACTACTTCCACCAAACCATGTATTGAAGAGGCATGGTGACGACTACCAAATGTGTGGATACAGTCCCTTTTCAGATAGTTTATTTTGCCCTTTAAAGCCTTATGTAACTAGATCCATAGTAACAAAATCCATAAAAAAAAAATATATGTATAATTGCAAAGCTTTAAAAGGACAGTAGTTACATTGAATAAAGCTTTCAGGACAAAAAAACTAACATATTTTACATAATTTCCAACAATAATGATCTGGTCATTCACTGCACGCATTATGTAAGGCTTTGTCCTACAGCATAAAATATGGGAAAGAAAAGTCAAAGACCAATGTCTGTTCATTTTTAGAACGGCCATTCAAGGGTAAAGATGAAAACTTGAGCGGCGCAAAAAATATTGTATTAATCTTTGTTTTGAGTTGTCTTAGGGGTCCTTAAAAGCAATGTCTAGATGAAACTTGTATCAAGGTAAACATAGGGGAAAGAATTTAATAGACAACCGTCATAAAATGTATTGAACAAATTAAACAATGGACAACAAATGCTGGCGTGCAGACTTTTATAACAACCAATAGCTAATACAAATGCACCCAGGACCGTACAATACCAGTGCACACTACTGCAGTTTCTGCCGATGTGGTGCAGCTTTGTAAAGAAGGTCTGATCATTATTATTTTGTCTTCTTCTCAGTGGCCAAGTTGTCATGGAGTTTTGACACACACTTTTCAAACTGGTCCATGACCAGCGTTCCGTTCCCGTCAAAGAAAGCACCCACAGACTTTGTGATCTCTTGCTCCCGCGTGTGTCTGGACTTCCCATCTGTGAAGGACACTCTTAGTGTGTACTGGTCATCAAACCTGCAGAGAGTAGAAGTCACAACACACAGTCAACACTTGGAAATTAAAACAAGAAAACAATTTGCTAGGATGGCTTCAATATCAAGATAAAAATGTTTTAAACATTACCAGGCATCATCTCTCAGAAAATGTGATAGTACCAAATACAGTACCAATTTTTTCCCCACTAAATGTAAACCATAAAAAAATACCTTTTCAGACTAGATGAAAGTTGCCAGGTGTGGTCAGGGTCCATGCCAGCGGGGTCTTTCTGGACAGAAACGAGGAAGATGTTCTTTTCTTGGTAGGAGGTGTATAAGGTTAGAATGCCCATCATTATGAAATACGTAAGGATCAGTTAGGGAAAACGTGGATATATAAATTCCAGAATCTGATAATTGTCCTTCCAAAAATGTCCATTAAGTTACTAAGCCGTGAGAATGTACATTTGGGTAATTCAAGATTTGGGGAGAGTAATAATAGCCTATCAAAAACATGTTATCAGCATCAGTCTGTAAATATCCAAATGGACATAAATTACATTAAAGCAATATCTACAGTTGGATGAATTGTTTTATAAAACCAATAAAGTAATGTTAGGCTGTGTTGTGTTACGATTGCATTACACCAATGGAATGTAGAGATTAAATTACAAAGTTTACGTGCACAACGATGGCACAGTTTGACATCATTAAGCAGAATGAACACTGCCATCATTCCTCCACACACATCCCACAATTAATATTTGCTAACTTTAGTTGGATGATGTAGATGGGCGTATTGTACAGTGGTAAGTGTGAGGAGGAATCATGGTGGCAGTCAGAGTACAAAATTACCTCAAACTGTAGGCAATCATGCCAACTTTATGCATGTCTGCTATTGTGACAAAGCAGTAATTGTATTATTTTTCCCTTAAAGGATATGATATGACACAGATTGCCAGGACTGGCTTGGACTCAGGGAATGGATGAAGGAAGTCCCAAATTAAAGCTACGATGGCGAAGAGGCAGGAGATTGTGCAAATGAGGAGACGTCCATCTACGAGATTGAAGTTCTCGGCATAACCATACTTCTCCAAGAGCACCTGATGAATGTTGGGAAAAATATTATCAAAACAGATGTAAAATGTCAAAACCATACACTTTAACATACAAGAGACTATTGAAATCAACTAATCATTGTCTGTGTGTACTCATTGTACTGTATTCAAACCTTCTTCGCTGCATCATCAAGAGAATTCTTGACAGCTGCACCATCCCATTTGTCAATCTTCACAGGTTTCTCATCAATCCTCCACTGTAAACAAATGACAATGGTCAATAGTATGAGCAACACAGTTCTTGACAGACAGTTTCCTCCTCCTGTACCAAACTCCTATTGCAGGGGCATGTTAGATGACAATTACACCTTTTTCACACCGCAGGCCTTAATGCTCAAATCAGTTTTGTTTTTCAAATCGGTTTTGGACTACTGACTGTCAAAACATCAAGTTATAAGTGACCAAATCGGATGTGTGTGTGTGTGGTGTTCAGACAGCAGTCATTCGCTGACAAGGCTATGCTAGTTGTCATAGTAACAAGGGGTGTGTGTGCAGTGGTGTAGGCTGATTGGTGGGGTGTGCTTGTGCTTCCTATCACTCAGAAGTTATGTAGCATGCTAAGGTGACAATGCCTGCCATGGACGTTTCCCAGTTGCTTTGAATGTTAAAAATCATAGGGTAAGAACGCTTTTAAAGCCTCAAAGGATATAAAATGATTCAACTTTCAAAACGAGTCCTAGCTAGGTAGCTGTTTAGCTTTCTAGCACATGCACTCATTTGTTTGTAAACAATTAACAAGCTTGTTAGCTACCACATGTTCTTGACAAACTGTCAGAGTACCTAGCAGTAATCCTGTGTAGCTCAGTTGGTAGAGCATGGCGTTTGCAACGCCAGGGTTGTGGGTTCGATTCCCACGGGGGGCCAGTATGAAAATGTATGCACTCACTAACTGTAAATCGCTCTGGATAAGAGCGTCTGCTAAATGACTAAAATGTAACTAGGCAAATGATTGTCAGACAGCTCTGCAGCATGCTTAGGCAGGCTAGCTAAATAGTTTGACTAGAAACAGTACAGCAGGGTTCCCCTATTTGACCCCCCAAGCTTTGAGCAAAAAACAAATAAATAAATAAATAAATAAATAAATATACACAGTGCTTTCGGAAAGTATTCAGATCCACTGACTATCCATATTGTTACGTTACAGCCTTATTCTAAAATGCGGTCTAAGGCACTGCATCGCAGTGCTAGAGGCGTCACTACAGACCTAGGTTCGATCCCTGGCTGTGTCGCAGTCGGCCGCGACCGGGAGACCCATGAGGCGGCGCACAATTGGCCCAGCCTCGTCCGGGTTAGGGGAGGGTTTGGCCGGCCCGGATATCCTTGTCCCATCGCGCACTAGCGACTCCTTGTGGCTCTAGCGACTGCATGCTGACTTCGGTCGCCAGTTGTACGGCGTTTCCTCCGACACATTGGTGCGGCTGGCTTCCGGATTAACCGAGCAGTGTGTCAAGAAGCAGTGCAGCTTGGCAGGGTCGTGTTTCGGAGGACGCATGGCTCTTGACCTTCGCCTCTCCCGAGTCTGTATGGGAGTTGCAGCGATGGGACAAGACTAACTACCAATTGGATATCACGAAATTGGGGAGAAACAGGAATAAAAAGTACCACAAAAAAAACATATTTGCATAAGTATTCAGACCCTTTGCTATGACTTGAAATTGAACTGTGGAGATGGGAGAACCTTCCTGAAGGACAACCATCTCTGCAGCACTCCACCAATCAGGCCTTTGTGGTAGAGTGGCCAGACGGAAGCAACTCCTCAGTAAAAAGGCACGACAGCTCGCTTGGAGTTTACCAAAAGGCACCTATTTTTCGATTGATGTCTACCCTATGTGGGCCAGAAAGAGACAATGAAATATTTTCAATGTTTTGTTCGCAACATTACCAAAAGTATGTGGACACCTACTCGTTGAACATATCATTCCAAAATCACAGGCATTAATATTGAGTTGGTCCCCCCTTTGCTGCTATAACAGCCTCAACTCTTCTGGGAAGGCTTTCCACTAGATGTTGGAACATTGCTGTAGGGACTTGCTTCCATTCAGCCACAAGATCATTAGTGAGGTCGGGCACTGATGTTGGGCGATTAGGACTGGCTCGCAGTCAGCTTCCAATTCATCCCAAAGGTGTTCGATGGAGTTGAGGTCAGGGCTCTGTGCAGTCAGTCAAGTTCTTCCACACTGATCAACAAACCATTTCTGTATGGACCTCGTTTTGTGCATTGCCATGCTGAAACTGGAAAGGGCCTTCCTCAAACTGTTGCCACAAAGTTGGAAGCACAGAATCGTCTACAATATCATTGTATGCTGTAGCGTTAAGATCCCCTTCATTGGAATTAAGGGGCCTAGACCGAACCATGAAAAACAACCCCAGACCATTATTCCTCCTCCACCAAACTTTACAGTTGGCACTATGCATTGGGGCTTTCTCCTGGCATCCGCCACACCCTGATTCGTCCGTCGGACTGCCAGATGATGAAGCGTGATTCATCACTCCAGAGAAGGCGTATCCACTGCTCAAGAGTCATATTGCGGCAAGCTTTACACCACTCCAGCTGACGCTTGGCATTGCGCATGGTGATCTTAGGCTTGTGTGCGGCTGCTCGGCCATGGAAACCCATTTCATGAAGCTCCCGACGAACAGTTATTGTGTTGACGTTGCTTCCAGCGGCAGTTTGGATCTTGGTAGTGAGTGTTGCAACTGTGACAGACGATTTTTACACGCCATGCGTTTCAACAGGCCCGTTCTGTGAGCTTGTGTGGCCTACCACTTCGTGGCTGAGCCGTTGTTGCTCCTAGATGTTTCCACTTCACAATAACAGCACTTACAGTTGACAGGGGCAGCTCTAGCAGGGAAGAAATTTGACGAACTGACTTGTTAGAAAGTTGGTATCCTATGACGGTGCCACGTTGAAAGTCACTGAGCTCTTCAGTAAGGTCATTCTACTGCCAATGTTTGTCTATGGAGATTGCATGGCTGTGTGCTCGATTTTATACACCTGTCAGCAATGGGTGTGGCTGAAATAGCCAAATCCACTAATTTGAAGGGGTGTCCATATACTTTTAGTGTATTTTTGGCATTGGAATTACCATTAAAAAGCTACATAATTAAAAAATATATATATTAACCCCCCCAAAAAACTACATTGAAAACTGATTCTTTTTTAATACAATCGAACCGACCTCAAAGACAAGCTAATTGCTCAGCACTACTTTCCTGTGGATATGGTGTCTCACATTCCTACCGCCAAAAAGGACCAACTAGTAAAGTACATTAAAATATAACTGTATTCAACATTCAGGCTTGTAGAGGTCATGAGAGGATACTTTCCTGATTCAAACACTCTTTCTGCCCGACGTAGAATTGAATGCAATTGAACGTCGGGTTTCCAAGCAATAAAAGCAGTTGATTCTAGGCTCCAATTGTTAATTCAAACAATTGCACTAAGTTACAATGAATGCAATCCAAGATAGTACGGTTAAATTGTTGCTTGCTGCAGTATTGAATTACTAGTTAAATAGTTACTGTGGCTAGTCACTATTATACATCTAGTGAAGTTTGTCAGCATTTGCTGCCTAGTTTCCTAGCTAGCTATCTTGCGCGTAGTGTTAACATCTGGCTAGCCAACAACAGCCAGGAAGAATATTAGCTAGTAGCATGCTAGGCCAGCCATAGCTTATCCAAGTTAGCTAGCTGGTCAATCAGCTTCCCTCACTTCAAATAAGATCTGCGTTCCTCTTGAAATTAGAACATATAAATAACGTTACTGCTATAGCCCACGTTATTTGCATAGGCAATTCCTTTATTTCCTTCAAGCAAGTAAAACTAGCTTGCTAACTACTGTTAACGTTAGCTTAAACTCAAAATGAACGGTCTGTCTAGTAGACATGCTTGCCGTGGCGTAATACAATATTGGCTATGCGGCCAACTATTGAAAAAGACCCAAGCATGACAGAATTAATTTCCGATCCCTGTGTCTTATAAAATGAACAATGACGGTGTAAAATAATTCTTACTTTCTCAAGTAGACCATTCTTCCCATTTCTGGCTGCCATCTTTCCTTCCTGTACATTTGCTGTGTGTGACCTGGAACAATGTGATTGGCTAAAATTATAATTTTTGCAGCCAACCAAACTAACTAGGAACGACGTACGTTTACGGAAGCGGTTTGGACGTTTCAAATGATTGGTCAATGTTTTCATTGAGCCCCACAGTTCAAACAAAGAATGAGGATTCAATGGGCGGATTCGATTATGCTGAACCAGTCTATGGCCCATGACGTGAACGGGCAAATCTGCGCCGCTCGGTCATGTTGTCAACAAGGCAGCATGGTGCATCAATCAGAAACAGACAAGATCTAATTTCCATAAAATATATATTTCAATTTTTTATCAAAAGCAGTCACTTTTGCATGTGAATATACATAATCCTACACATTACTCTACGTGCTTAATTAAGTCACTTTTGGTTTGAGCAGATTTCGCCGTGGGTTTTAAACCGGGCGCCCGTGCCAGATTAATCATATCCCCTAATTTTAGCTCGCCCTGCTCACAGGGTCGTCAACTATCTGGGCAAGCGGCAAAGTCATAAACCCCGCCCATTTCTACAATTTATCTTCTTAAAGCCTGATTTGAAACCTAACCCTAACCTTAACCACACTGCTAACCTTATGCCTAACCCTAATCTTAAATTAAGACCAAAAATATCATTTTAGATTTCACAATGAAATCGAGGAGGGGTTATGGATCTTTCTCTGTCCTAGGATTATTTTTTTATTATTTTTTTTTCCACCTTTATTTAACCAGGTAAGCCAGTTGAGAACAAGTTCTCATTTACAACTGCGACCTGGCCAAGGATGTATACTGAACAAAAATATAAATGCAACATGCAACAATTTCAAAGATTTTACTGAGTTACAGTTCATTGAAGGAAATCAGTCAATTGAAATAAATTCATTAGGCCCTAATCTATGGATTTCCCCAGTGGGTGGGCCTGGCTGCCAAGTGGGTGGGCCTATGCCCACCAAGGCCCACCCATGGCAACACCCCTGCCCAGTTATGTGAAATCCATAGATTAGGGCCTAATTAATTAATTTCAATTGACTGATTTCCTTATATGTACTGTAACTCAGTAAAATCTTTGAAATTGTTGGGTTTATATATTTTTTCAGTATAGATATGATAGCCAGCTGCAGCTATCACCAGGCTATGCTAGCTAGGTGGTGTCAGCTTGGCTAAACACTAGGTCAGCGCAGGCTTTAGCCTACACAAAGAACTGAATTAGCTGACCATCTTGAGATGGTGAGTCAGTCAGGAGTGGAGAAGTCCTTAACTTCAAAACTTTGTTAGCAAAGCTAGCTTAGCATAACTAACTGTACTCACTACTGCCCTTGTTTGTTGTGATTGTATTGTAAAAACACACCCAAGAAACACCCACATCAAACCACACCCCAAAGACAACGCTCGTTTGCCTTCAATCATGCCCGGTAGCATTTCTTAATGAGCATTGATGAAAAACAAAGCCAAATCAGGAAGTGCAGTCACCCTTTAATAGTGTTTTCTATGGCAAATAATTGTTGGTGTAGTAATGGCCGGGGGGACCTAGGGTACCGATGTACTTGGAGGGAGTTTCTCTTAGGTGTTGTGTGATTAAGATTTGCAGAGCTACGCCTCCCTTAGCTTAGGTGATCCTCCCCACCAAATACACAACCATATTGATTGGAAACAACTTGTGTCAATTAAATAACATTTCCTAGAGCTTTATACCTACATCAAGACTATTGGATATTGCTGGAAATACCGGTAAACGCAAAGTGCCTAAAAAAAAACAACTAAAAAGCATGGCCCTAGATATAGCTACAAGAATATTAGCTTGAGGAAGAAAAATAAAAGCTTAAAGATTGTAAGATTTGTTGAATTTAGCTAGAAACTCAAGTTCAAATGAATGTTGAAATGAATTATTTAAAGTGATAATAACATGTTTATTTAAAACATTTTTAGAGTTTTATGTATGACCTCCAATGAGTCTAAATATAAATGCAAACCAATGACTAATATTATGTGAGGGAGATTACAAGTCTTTGCTCTCATTGTGTTGAGTTGAGTGGTCAAATCAATGTCTTGGAAAGCCGTTCAGCATTCAAACATTTCACATTTCAATACCAGATTCTGGAGAAAAAAACGATACAGGACCACATACGTGCCAACTTCTTTACATACTTAAAGTGAAAGTTAAAACAAGACAAGCGCTTGAATGAAAAGAAAAAGTAATTCAGCACTCCTTTGTATTTGAATGTGTTATTGTGTTTCATAGTTCCTTCAGAACGTGAATGGACATGATCAGAACAAGTTTTGTTTCCTTCAAAGTACAGTGCTGTCAATGAATCATGTAGGCTATACAAGTGGTACATTCTGATTACTATAAAGAATCAATAACCTAATCTTTAATCAGGAATCTTTAATCAGGAAAGTAAACAAAAAAACTGCAGATGTATCGTATGACACAGTCGACAGAAATTAGCCATTTCGCAATAACCTATTTCCATTTGGCACTAACTTCCCCTCCAATACTAAAATATGCATCTGCATATTTAAACTGTATATATAAAGGTAAGTATACAAGTATTTGTGTACATAATTATGTACGTAATATTGCAATATCTTATACTTGAAAAATGTTAAGTAGTAATGGACATTAAAGCTAATATTTTGGCATATGCCATTGGAAAAATATACATCTTTAGGAAAACAAGAATCAAATAGAATATGAAAGACATTTCTCAAATAAAATATAATAGCCCTTTCAATAAGCGTCTCAAACAATATAGTAACTACAACTCAAAGATCAGAAAAATAACAATGCTGATGAGATATATTTATATGGAATCTCCAATTGAAATATTGCAGAAAACAATTGTCCTAATTAATACCATACTATAGCAGTCAACCCATAATTAATATAGATCAAAACTATAAGCTTTGGCAGTATTACAGCTTTATAAAGCTGTGCCATACACATGTATAGAGACATTTTAGTTTGTACTAGTCAAAAGAGGGCATAGATCATTTGAGAGAAATGCAACAGTGAGTGTAGAGGTAGAAGTGTGGGCATAAGATTGACAGAAAATACATACAGGTATTGAATTTGATCAAAAAATCACCCTCCAAAAAACATGTTAATATTGCACCCCTTAACAATATTACTGTAATAGTTTTCACATATTGCATACAGTGGGGAGAACAAGTATTTGATACACTGCCGATTTTGCAGGTTTTCCTACTTACAAAGCATGTAGAGGACTGTCATTTGTATCATAGGTACACTTCAACTGTGAGAGACGGAATCTAAAACAAAAAGCCAGAAAATCACATTGTATGATTTTTAAGTAATTAATTTGCATTTTATTGCATGACATAAGTATTTGATACATCAGAAAAGCAGAACTTAATATTTGGTACAGAAACCTTTGTTTGCAATTACAGAGATCATACGTTTCCTGTAGGTCTTGACCAGGTTTGCACACACTGCAGCAGGGATTTTGGCCCACTCCTCCATACAGACCTTCTCCAGATCCTTCAGGTTTCGGGGCTGTCGCTGGGCAATACGGACTTTCAGCTCCCTCCAAAGATTTTCTATTGGGTTCAGGTCTGGAGACTGGCTAGGCCACTCCAGGACCTTGAGATGCTTCTTACGGAGCCACTCCTTAGTTGCCCTGGCTGTGTGTTTCGGGTTGTTGTCATGCTGGAAGACCCAGCCACGACCCATCTTCAATGCTCTTACTGAGGGAAGGAGGTTGTTGGCCAAGATCTCGCGATACATGGCCCCATCCATCCTCCCCTCAATACGGTGCAGTCGTCCTGTCCCCTTTGCAGAAAAGCATCCCCAAAGAATGATGTTTCCACCTCCATGCTTCACGGTTGGGATGGTGTTCTTGGGGTTGTACTCATCCTTCTTCCTCCAAACACGGCAAGTGGAGTTTAGACCAAAAAGCTCTAGTTTTGTCTCATCAGACCACATGACCTTCTCCCATTCCTCCTCTGTATCATCCAGATGGTCATTGGCAAACTTCAGACGGGCCTGGACATGCGCTGCCTTGAGCAGGGGGACCTTCGTGCGCTGCAGGATTTTAATCCATGACGGCGTAGTGTGTTACTAATGGTTTTCTTTGAGACTGTGGTCCCAGCTCTCTTCAGGTCATTGACCAGGTCCTGCCGTGTAGTTCTGGGCTGATCCCTCACCTTCCTCATGATCATTGATGCCCCACGAGGTGAGATCTTGCATGGAGCCCCAGACCGAGGGTGATTGACCGTCATCTTGAACTTCTTCCATTTTCTAATAATTGTGCCAACAGTTGTTGCCTTCTCACCAAGCTGCTTGCCTATTGTCCTGTAGCCCATCCCAGCCTTGTGCAGGTCTACAATTTTATCCCTGATGTCCTTACACAGCTCTCTGGTCTTGGCCATTGTGGAGAGGTTGGAGTCTGTTTGATTGAGTGTGTGGACAGGTATATTTTATACAGGTAACGAGTTCAAACAGGTGCAGTTAATACAGGTAATGAGTGGAGAACAGGAGGGCTTCTTAAAGAAAAACTAACAGGTCTGTGAGAGCCGGAATTCTTACTGGTTGGTAGGTGATCAAATACTTATGTCATGCAATAAAATGCAAATGAATTACTTAAAAATCATACAATGTGATTTTCTGGATATTTGTTTTAGATTCCGTCTCTCACAGTTGAAGTGTACCTATGATAAAAATTACAGACCTCAACATGCTTTGTAAGTAGGAAAACCTGCAAAATCGGCAGTGTATCAAATACTTGTTCTCCCCACTGTATATCTAACCTGGCCACACTGATCCTTTAACTCAACAATATAAAATGACCAGGAGCTAGATATTAGAGTGTGAGCGGCTGTACACCTCAACACCCACACGTTTCAGGCTGCCTGCATTGCAGTTGTTCTACGCAGATTGTCAGATCGTTAAAACGTATTGATGGGGTTTCTGCAATGTTAACCACTACTCTGGCAAATACTATCTAACATTGACAGAATCCAATCAATATGACTTAATTGATCATCTGTGCAACTCTTTGTGTCGCAAGACGCCCTGCTGTTCATGGTAACACCACATTGTTGAATCTACCTTCAACTAAAAAGAATAACAAATTATGCAAAATAAATTATGTTAAGAAAGGCAATGAGATATAGAGCGATTGAGGTGCTAATGGACACTGTCTGTGTGCAAAATATTTTAGCTGAGCCAAGGATATAAACGGAGTTTTCACAGCAATGGAACTTACATTTTACGAGTGTTTTAATGCATCATTCCTAATGCACAAAGATGTAACAAGTGTTTCCCAAAACATCACGTAGAGGTGCTAAGTGCATCGTTGGAGCAGAAAGGAACATGTGGATCATGAAATAAATCAATAGGATGTTACTCTGCCGGGTTAATGGGAATCTGAATGAAGGGTCTGACAAAGTAATAGTGCTAGATCTTGTGTCCACATCCTTGGCTGAGCTAGAATCAGAATCATACATGAGCCTGAACACAAAGATTTTCAAATGTCTGCACAGTATGAATCTCAACACAACCTCATGCCGTGAATAATATTTTGCTTTTTCTCAGTGCATTAACTGCAGAAATATGATGTAGTGTATTTAAAAAATGTCATGAGTAACTGCAAACGAGAAGAAAATAAAATGTTTCAGCAAAATCATGTTTGTAGAAACTAAATCTAATAGGAATACATCAAAATGAACATTAATTTATGACATAAACCAGCTAGGGCTTAGTTAATCTTTAAAAGCACTGCATTTGGAACCTGGTCAACAAAAGAAGTATAGTTCTTGTATGCAAGAAGTTGGCTGATTGAATTATATAAAAAAGCACAAGAATAACAATTTAATAATTGCAATTAAAGTGCTCATTCCTTTTGGAAATTCTTCCTGATCTGCGTGGATTGCATTCAATTCTGTTTTCATTGCAGGATCGGAGAAAGTACTTGTCAAGACTGGTCTTTTGCTTGTCTACTTGTTGCTGTTCCCTGTCAAACTGTCTTTGAAGATTCAACGCTAGCTCTCTGTCCTCTCTCTCTTGCTGTACCTGTTGAATGTACAGGTCAGCCTGTGCACACTCTATATTACAACCATATTGGCTCTGGGATCTTGGTCTCTTGAGTCCAGACTCTGTCTCCTCTAGGTGTTTGGTCTTCTGGCTCCTCTTCTTGCCCCTCCTTGAGGTAGGTTGGTTCTGGGCACAGTTTCTATTGCCCAACTCTTTTCTCTGATCCTGTGAGTCCTTTGATTTAAGTTTGCAACCCCTAACACTGGCATTTATATTGTGTGGGACTATGGTTGGATTTTGATGAATTGAGGTTGGTCCACAATGTGATTCAGGTACCACCATAGACTCAGAAGAAACGCCACATTCTGTTACAGTCTCCTCACTGGTTAAAGGTACAAATGGAGTATGAAACTTTGTGAATTGTTTTTGATGGAGGGCTGTCTCTCCAATGGCCTGGTCAAATATCAGTCTTTGTTTATTATGTATACAAGTTCTTTCATTTTCTTGCTCAGAGGAAGCAGTCTTGGCACACCTACCCAAGTGTTCTTTTCCCTTATTTGCTGCTAGAGTGCAGCTACAAGGCTTGCTGTCCTTCTCCTCTATGGGGCTTGGTTTGAAAACAAGGTCCTCGAACATGGGGCTGTTCATGGGGCTGGTCAAGGTGCCCTTCGAGGTCACTTTGACAGACTGACGATCCACCTCTATCTGCTTCCATTTCTGGAGGATAGTAGGGCTGGCTTCATAGCTGGTGGGCCTCTGCAGGCTGCGGAATAAGTTCCGGGGGGTGGACTTCACAATTGTGGGTTCCATCACTCGCCCGTCAGGTAGTCGCTTTGGTGGGGTGCACGGCGAGCACACTATTGGCTTGAAGTGATTCAGCTCCTCAGAGATACTGTCATTGCTCTCTGGGCTAATGGACCTCTCCTGTTTCAACTGGGGGACCATAAAAGGTGTTGATGGAGCCATGATGACACCTCGCCAGCTACGCCTCTTGTCTTGGACAATGATGGGTGCCGAAAGAGATCGGCTGTTCTCAGAGGACAGAAGGATTCCTGCACTGTAGCTGTGAGCAATACTTGCCTGTACAGAGACAACAAACCAACAAAAAAAAGAAGAGCAATGTTTTAAAGGACATGAACAGTCAAAATCATATTGGATGATATTTCAATGAAACCAGATCAAAGTATGATGACCAAAGCATGAAAAATTATTTGATCAATTTTGAATCATTGATAAAGTTTGATCATAAAGTTACTGGTCCCATCCCCCATGTCAAACACTTAGATTCAAGGAGGTTGGTTTATTAAAGGGATAGGGTGACATCACCAATGTTCCCTCAAATGTTTTGGGGCACTGAGCAAATTGAATGTCTACAGGCCTACATTGCATGAGACTTTTAAAAACGTTTTAACATTATAATTTTTTACTTAGTCTGTAACACCAAGGGCCAAATAGGTAATGCAAGAAATCACATTACAAAATAAAATTAATTCTTATTACCATACAGAGAATTAGACAATGTAGGCTACTCCTCTGCCTATTGGCTTATTTACATAGTCAAGCCTGTCTCAAAATACAACACAGCCCCTTTAATTAAGACATAAGATTTTTACCTGACTGGCTTTTCAAAGACAGCTTGAAATGTAGTCTACACATTTTGTGCTCTTGTAGGAAGCAGTAACTCCCCATTGCTGACCTATACTTATCTATAACTGGGCTAATAACTCACTAACTAGCAAAGAATATCAACAAATGTTCACACACGCGGCTCTGATCTAAAAAGCGCATGAATTCACTTGCAGGTTATTGAAAGACCTCTCATGGGCTACCCGGCCGAATTGTACTCCATTGCGCTCTGGCTCTGCCTACCATGACTGTAAGTCGCTTTGGATAAAAACGTCTGCTAAATGGCATATTATTATTATTATTATTATTATTATTACAACAAAATCACAGACTCAATCTTGGATTGTTGCATTGAAAAGGGACTGATATAATGTTGATTTGAACACAAAAAAAACATTGATTTATATATTGCAAACTAATGGGGTGAACTCAGTGATGTTCAATCTCTTGCACCTCTGCGCGGACTGGCATTTCTTCTGCGCGACAGTCCTGGAGGCGGTGCGCGTCCATGCACGCACGCACCTTAGAGGGAACATTGGACATCACCCTAACTCTAATTTTTATGCACCAATGGTAACATGATATTCTCTTACCTAATTTAAATAAGTACCGCCTTGTAACCAACAGCAGAGAAGGCGTGTTTGCGGAGGGGCGTGGTTTGTATACAGAGCCTTCAGAAAGTATTCATACTCCTTGACTTATTCCACATTTTGTTGTGCTACAGCCTGAATTCAAAATGTATTAAATATATATTTTTTCTCACCTATCTACACACTATACCCCATAATGACAAAAGTGAACACGTTTTTAGAAATTTGAGCAAATTATATGAAAAACGAAATACAGAAATATCTCATTTACATAAGTACTCACACCCCTGAGTCAATACATGTTAGAATCATCTTTGGCAGCGATTATAGCTGTGAGTCTTTCTGGGTAAGTCTCTAAGAGCTTTGCGCACCTGGATTGTACAATATTTGCACATTATTCTTTTTAAATTCTTCCAAATCTGTCAAGTTGGTTGTTGATCATTGCTAGACAGCCATTTTCAAGTCTTGCCATAGATTTTCAAGCCGATTTAAGTCAAACGTAACGAAGCCACTCAGGAACATTCAATGTCATCTTGGTAAGCAACTCCGGTGGCTTCGTTACATTTGAGTGGCTTCGTTACAATTGAGCATTTGACAACTCTGCATCACAATGGTAGGGATTAGCTGAGCTGGGCTTGTGTCATTGTCTCAATGCAGCCTTATAATGCTGTGAAAGGATCCAGGAACCCAAATGATTTGGGTGGATCCCATCCTCCTTATAAAAGGTGGTAAGGGTAGGCAACAACACATCTGCCACGCTGATCCTCAACACAGGGGCCCCTCAGGGGTGCGTGCTTAGTCCCCTCCTGTACTCCCTGTTCACCCATGACTGCGTGGCCAAGCACAACTCCAACACCATCATTAAGTTTGCTGACGACACAACGGTGGAAGGCCTGATCACCGACAATGATGAGTCAGCCTATAGGGAGGAGGTCAGAGACCTGGCAGTGTGGTGCCAGGACAACAACCTCTATCTCAACGTGAGCAAGACAAAGGAGATGATCGTGGACTACAGGAAAAGGAGGACCGAACACGCCCCCATTCACATCGACAGGGCTGTAGTGGAGCGGGTCGAGAGCTTCAAGTTCCTTGGTGTCCAAATGACCAACAAACTATCATGGTCCAAACACACCAAGAAAGTCGTGAAGAGGGCACGACAATACCTTTTCCCCCTCAGGAGACTGAAAAGATTTAGCATGGGTCCCCAGATCCTGAAAGAGTTCTATAACTGCACCATCGAGAGCATCCTGGCCGGTTGCATCACCGCCTGGTATGGCAACTGCTCGGCATCCGACCGTAAGGTGCTACAGAGGGTAGTGAGTATGTCCCAGTACATCACTTGGGCCAAGCTTCCTGCCATCCAGGACCTATATACTAGGCGGCGTCAGAGGAAGGCCCAAATAATTGTCAAAGTCTCCAGTCACCCAAGTCACAGACTGTTCTCTCTGCTACCGCACGGCAAGCGGTACCGGAGCGCCAAGTCTAGGTCCAAAAGGCTCCTTAACAGCTTCTACCCCCAAGCCATAAGACTGCTGAATAATTAATCAAATGGCTACCCCGACTATTTGCATTGACAACCCCCACTTTGTTTTTACACTGCTGCTACTCGCTGTTTATTATCTATGCCCCTACTTTACCCCTACCTACATTAATATGCCATTTAGCAGACGCTTTTATCCAAAGCGACTTATAGTCATGCGTGCATACATTTTTGTGTATGGCTGGTCCCGGGGATCGAACCCACTACCCTGGCGTTACAAGCGCCGTGCTCTACCAACTGAGCTACAGAGGACCATGAACAAATTATCTTGGACTAACCTGTACCCCCGCACATTGACTCTGTACCGGTACCCCCTGTATATAGCCTCATTGTTATTTTATTGTGTTACTTTTTTATTGATTTAATGTTTATTATTATTATAAATTGTTTACTTTATTTAGTAAATATTTTCTTAACTCTATTTTCTTAACTGCATTATTGGTTAAGGTCTTGTAAGAAAGCATTTCACGGTAAGGTCTACAACTGTTGTATTCTGCACATGTGAGAAACACAATGACTTGATTGATTTGATTTGTTAAGCAAATGTTTACTCCTGAATTTATTTAGACTTGCCATAACAAAGGGGTTGAATACTTACTGACTCAAGACATTTCAGCTTTTAATTCATTTGTAAAAATGTCTAAAAACATAATTCCACTTTGAAATGATGGGGTATTGTGTGTACAGTGCATTTGGAAAGTATTCAGACCACTTGACTTTTTCCACATTTTATTACGTTACAGCCTTATTCTAAAATTGATTAAATTGTTTATTTTACCTCATCAATCTACACACAATAACCCATAATGACAAAGCAAAAACAGGTTTGTAGAAAGTTTAGCAAATGTATTAAAAATAAAAAACTGAAATATCACATTCAGACCCTTTACCCAGTACTTTGTTGAAGCACCTTTGGCAGTGATTACAGCCTCGAGTCTTCTTGGGTATGACGCTACAAGCTTGGCACACATGTATTTTGGGGAGTTTCTCCCATTCTTCTCTGCAGATCCTCTCAAGCTCTCTCAGGTTGGATGGGGAGCGTTGCTGCACAGCCATTTTCAGGTCTCTCCAGAGATGTTCGATCAGATTCAAGTCCGGGCTCTGGCTGGGCCACTCAAGGACATTCAGAGACTTAAAAAAAAAAAAAATATATATATATATATATATATATATATGCCATTTAGCAGACGCTTTTATCCAAAGCGACTTACAGTCATGCGTGCATACATTTTTGTGTATGGGTGGTCCCGGGGATCGAACCCACTACCTTGGCGTTACAAGCGCCGTGCTCTACCAGCTGAGCTACAGAGGACCACAATCAGGAGACTTGTCCCGAAGCCACTCCTGCGTTGTCTTGGCTGTGTGTTTAGGGTCGTTGTGCTGTTGGAAGGTGAACCTTTGGCCCAGTCCGAGGTCCTTAGCGCTCTGGAGCAGGTTTTCATCAAGGATCTCCCTGTACTTTGCTCCATTCATCTTTCCCTCGATCCTGACTAATCTCCCAGTCCCTGCCGCTGAAAAACATCCCCACAGCATGATGCTGCCACCACCATGCTTCACCGTAGGGATGGTGCCAGGTTTCCTCCAGACGTGACGCTTGGCATTCAGGTCAAATAGTTCAATCTTGGTTTCATCACACCAGAGAATCTTGTTTCTCATGGTCTGAGTCCTTTCGGTGCCTTTTGGCAAACTCCAAGTGGGCTGTCATGTGCCTTTTACTGAGGAGTGGCTTCCGTCTGGCCACTCTACCATAAAGGCCTGATTGGTGGAGTGCTGCACAAATGGTTGTCCTTCTAGAAGGTTCTCCCTTCTCCACAGAGGAACTCTGGAGCTCTGTCAGAGTGACCATCGGGTTCTTGGTCCCCTCCCTGACCTCGACACAATCCTGTCTCGGAGCTCTACAGACAATTCCTTCGACCTCATGGCTTGGTTTTTGCTCAGGTGTGTGCCTTTCCAAATCATGTCCAATCAATTGAATTTACCATAGGTGGACTCCAATCAAGTTGTAGAAACATCTCAAGGATGACCAATGGAAACAGGATAAACCTGAGATAAATTTTGAGTCTCATAGCAAAGGGTCTGAAAACGTTTGTAAATAAAAGGTATCGTTTTTTTATTTTTCATAAATTTGCTAAAATTTCTAAAAACCTATTTTCACTTTCTCATTATGGGGTATTGTGTGTAGATTGATAAAGAAAAACATTAATTTAATCAATTTTAGAATAAGGCTGTAACGTAACAAAATGTGGAAAAAGTCAAGGGGTCTGAATACTTTCCGAATGCACTGTAGGCCAGTGACCCAAAATCTCATGAAAAATGTTTACACTATTCATCTATAGCAAAGATACTTATGTCTCCCCTTTCATCTGTGTCTGGTGTTAGCTAGTTACTGGCTAGCCCTTCAGCCAGCATGGAACAAAAGGGGGGGGGGGGGGGTCATTCAAAACTCTGACGCAGTTGTCATGTCAACACATTGGTTAGTGCTGCTGCGAACCGCATCATAAGAGACATGCCAATTTCAATGTTGTTTGAGTTGCTTTGTGTATCAACAAATTTGCTTGAGAAAATGTTACTCCAACACTCCATAAAAGTTTTTTGACGTAGACGTTTCAAAGAGCTCTCAGTCAAGGCGAGCTCATGAATATAAGCTCCCAGCCCACTCAGCCTCTTTTCAAACTTCCTGGTAGTCAGCCATGAGAGAAAAATTTGCCATGAGAGAAAATACATGTCTACAATTTTGAGCTTTTCTATCCCCCCAAAATATGGGTGATACAGTATTTTAGTTACTCAAAAGACTATTTTACATGGGAATCAGAATGACTGTTCGGGACCTTTAAGCACTTCAGAACCAAACAGCTCTGACCATTTTAGGGATTAAAATCTTCCTTTAAAAGCCCAGCTTCATACCTTGTCCAGTCCAGGAAGATGAGTAGCCACCCTTATTTTTCGCCTTCCCTCCTCTGTATCAGTACAGCTCTGGCTTCTCTGCACCACATTGGTCTGTAGACCACTGAGGGAAAAGGGGACTGAGTAAATAACTGAATTAAAAGTGCAAAACACATTAAATGTAACATCAATCGTTCAAAGGCTTCGAAAATGTGTGCAAAGAATCAATACTGCAGCATTAAGTAAAAAAATTTAGCAACATGATTATTAATTACTGTTATATGAGGACATTATTACAGTTACAAGCAGCCTTCAATGTAAAAAATAAAACAAACATTGATAATAGAAGCAAGGGGATTTCAGTACTCTCTTGTGAAGTCTGCCGAGATCTTTGTTCTTCTAACAAACGCAGACACATTTCTGGTTCTCTTCCCAATGGGTTCTTCATTCTCCGAGTCTGACAGCAACCCATAGAACTGGAAGAAAAAGCTGTATATCTCAGCATCATGTTTACACTTATTAATCAATGTGTTGGCATACCATTCTGAGCAATCTATTCACAATCTATTCGATAATGTATTCATATGAGGGTTACAAGATAAAACTTACAGGATCTTGAAAGTGCTTGAGTGTTCCACATTCCTCTTTTCTGTGGTGGAGGACTTTCCTCCTCCCCTCATCTTTCTCTTCATTCATTGGTACCTGAAAAAGAAAAATTCCTTCTTACTGATAGTAACTGAACGCAAGGGATCATTCACATGACCTGTGGTTGTTTAAAATCAATGTGTTGTGTGCCAATCTACAACAATGGAATTTGTGATAGGAATAAGATGATATCAACATATTAAAATGTTCTCTAATTCAAGTCTCAAACACATAGTTCTCTCCTTTTGAGGGGTTTAGGGGCATTGTACAACAACACTTCTGTAAAGAGCTATGTTAAAAAGGATGCACTACGGGGGAAAACACAAAACCCCTCCTATTGTATTTGAATAATCAATAAGTGTTATAATTAAGCAATAAGGCCCGATATGTGGCCAATATACCACGGGCTAAGCGCTGTTCTTACACACGACGCAACGCGGAGTGCTAGGACACAGCCCTTAGCCGTGGTATATTGGCCATATTTCACAACCCCCCCCCCCCCCCCCCCCCCCCTAATTACATTGGTAAACTGGTTACCAATGTAATTAGAGCAATAAAAATAAATGTTTTGTCATGGTATACGGTCTGATATACCACGGCTTTCAGTATTCAGGGCTCGAACCACCCAGTTTATAATAGTCCATATTACAATATTACCTTTACTTGTTGCTTTCCATACTCCAGTCGGATCTCTCCAGATTTGGATACCTGAGCAGGCGAGCGGAAAATCTCTGAGAAAAATAAAACATTTAAAATGATCAAAATCACTCAAATATTCTCAAAACAAGAGCTGGGTCGAAAAGGTTTGGGAACCACTGGATATAACAGGTATACACCAAATGATGTAACATATTACATTGAAAAACACCCCAGACAGTACAGTCGACTGTCAATAGAGTAGCTCCTCCCACAAAAAGCTCCACAAGTCTGGGCAAGTCACAGCCAAACTTTCTCTGCCTAGAAAAGTATATCAAAACTGACTGGTCTTGTTCTCTCTCCAGCCTTGTTTGTACAAGAGCCTCTTGGTTCTATGGAATGACCATTCAAGGCGCGTACGGGAAAACGTATAGCCCCGAGTTGAATAGAATTTGTTACAGTGTAACAGAAACCGTTCTAATTCCCAATGATATCGTTGTAAAACAAAGTAACACACTATTGTTACCTACAAGAAGACCAACATTAAACTGTATGCACTGCAGTGTTGTTGCCAACACGGAATGACAGCACCACTGTCAGTTACAATGTTTGCCGCGAATAAAAAAAAGATAGCCCAAAATGCTTTACTACTTTGTGTTCGTTACCATAATGGCAGGTAGTCTATAATAGGAAACAAATTAAGAAGACTGGACAAAATCCTTACGACATACACAAATGTATGTACCCTACAGCATAGCCTAAAACGGAATTGATGTTGTCAAAAAAGCATACCTTCTCCACCAGTCTCACAGTCTCTCTGCTCCATTCTCCTCTTGCATCGTTGTGGATAACTCTTTCGAACAATTTCCCAAAGTTCGATGTTTACTAGGCTTTTCTCCCGGGACTGTTTACGGGCCCAACTGGATACTCGCAGCCGGCAGAGGGGACAGCACAAACTGGTAAATTCCACTGTCCGCTTGAAACAGTGCAGACACACCGAGTGGCTACATGGCATAGTTACGGGCTCCAATAAAATCTCCGAACAAACCGGACACCTTGCCTCGTCCAGAGTCAGCAGCTGTGAATGTGTCCGAGTTTTCAGCATATCGGCGGCCCTGGCTTTGCATTTTTGCCCCAATCCACTAGTGGATCTTGCGGACCCTGTCGCCGCCATTTTCATTGGTCCCTCCCTACCAAAGATGGTGGATAAATGAAGATAAGTTACTCAGGCCGTTTACCATTGAAAACAATTGTCAGTTCCGGTCTGCGTAAGGGGGTGGTTCCATAGATACCAGCGCAATAGCAGCTGGGTCTGGTCTACTTAACTCTTTGATCCATGCGCATACCTTTTGGCGGGCATGTGCTCAAACGAAAAAAAGGGCACCCCAAAAAAAATATCCCCGCTGCCGCGATCATGCTTGTTAAGCAATTATTACAATAAGAGGGGAAAGCAGCACAATCTGACGAGTAAAGTATTGTGCTAAACTATTTTGAACTGGATTCAATTCTGCACTTATTAACAATGACCAACACAATTCCAGTCAAAATTGAAGATGGTAAGAAATACTGTAGCCTACCATTACTATATCCAACCCAACTCCATTTGGGGCTCCCGAGTGGCGCAGTGGTCTAAGATACTGCATCTCAGTGCTTGAGGCGTCACTACAGACCCCATGGTTCGATTCCAGGCTGTATCAAAACCGGCCGAGATTGGGAGTCCCATAGAGCGGCGCACAATTGGCCCAGCGTCGTCCGGGTTTGGCCAGTGTAGGCCGTCATTGTAAATAAGAATTTGTTCTTAACTGACTTGCCTAGTTAAATAAAGGTTAAAAAGTGGCCACTATCATGTATTCAAACTTTTGACCAGCGACCCTCAAAATGGAGTAGTAAATAACGTGTGACCTAATTGCTGCCCAAATGTATAGCCTGTCATTACTGACATAAACGGTGATGCATTTTCAAAACGCAAGATAGGCTACAGAAATAAACTGCGTTTTACACCTGCATTTAGAGCTGAAACGCATTCATGTTAGCAGCCAATATCAAGTAGGGATATATCATGTCACTTCTCTGGAGTCAAGAGCAAGCAAAATCATACAGCCTAGTTGTAGCAGAGGTTGCAGGATTGAATGGAAAGCATGTTATTTCTGTCTGCACGATTTTTTTCACCTTTATTTAACCAGGTAAGTTGAGAACAAGTTCTCATTTACAACTGCGACCTGGCCAAGATAAAGCAAAGCAGTGCGATTAAAAACAACAACACAGAGTTACATATGGGGGTAAAACAAAACATAAAGTAAAAAAATACAACAGAAAATATATATAAAGTGTGTGCAAATGTAGCAAGTTATGGAGGTAAGGCAATAAATAGGCTATAGTGCAAAATAATTACAATTAGTAGTAACACTGGAATGATAGATGTGCAAGAGATTATGTGCAAATAGAGATACTGGGGTGCAAGTGAGCAAAATAAATAACAATATAGGGATGAGGTAGTTGGGTGGACTAATTTCAGATGGGCTGTGTACAGGTGCAGTGATCGGTAAGGTGCTCTGACAACTGATGCTTAAAGTTAGTGAGGGAGATAAGAGTCTCCAGCTTCAGAGATTTTTGCAATTCGTTCCAGTCATTGGCAGCAGAGAACTGGAAGGAATTACGGCCAAAGGAGGTGTTGGCTTTGGGGATGACCAGTGAGAAATACCTGCTGGAGCGCATACTACAGGTGGGTGTTGCTATGGTGACCAATGAGCTAAGATAAGGCGGGGATTTGCCTAGCAGTGATTTATAGATGGCCTGGAGCCAGTGGATTTGACGACGAACATGTAATGAGGACCAGCCAACAAGAGCGTACAGGTCACAGTGGTGGGTAGTGTATGGGGCTTTGGAGACAAAACGGATGGCACTGTGATAGACTACATCCAATTTGCTGAGTAGAGTGTTGGAGGCTATTTTGTAAATGACATCGCAGAAGTCAAGGATCGGTAGGATAGTCAGTTTTACGAGGGCATGTTTGGCAGCATGAGTGAAGGAGGCTTTGTTTCGAAATAGGAAGCCGATTCTGGATTTAACTTTGGATTGGAGATTCTTAATGTGAGTCTGGAAGGAGAGTTTACGGTCTAACCAGACACCTAGGTATTTGTAGTTGTCCACATACTCTAGGTCAGACCCGTCGAGAGTAGTGATTCTAGTCGGGTGGGCGGGTGCCAGCAGCGTTCGATTGAAGAGCATGCATTTAGTTTTGCTAGTGTTTAAGAGCAGTTGGAGGCTACTAAAGGAGTGTTGTATGGCATTGAAGCTCGTTTGGAGATTTGTTAACACAGTGTCCAATGAAGGGCCAGATGTATACAAAATGGTGTCGTCTGCGTAGAGGTGGATCTGAGAGTCACCAGCAGCAAGAGCGACATCATTGATATACACGGAGAAAAGAGTCGGCCCAAGAATTGAACCCTGTGGCACCCCCATAGAGACTGCCATAGGTCCAGACAACAGGCCATCCGATTTGACACATTTAACTCTATCTGAGAAGTAGTTGGTGAACCAGGCGAGGCAGTCATTTGAGAAACCAAGGCTATTTAGTCTGCCAATAAGAATGCGGTGGTTGACAGAGTCGAAAGCCTTGGCCAGGTCGATGAAGACGGCTGCACAGTCCTGTCTATTATCGATCGCGGTTATAATGTCGTTTAGGACCTTGAGCGTGGCTGAAGTGCACCCATGACCAGCTCAGAAACCGGATTGCATAGCGGAGAAGGTACGGTGGGAATCGAAATGGTCGGTGATCTGTTTGTTAACTTGGCTTTCAAAAACTTTTGAAAGGCAGGGCAGGATGGATATAGGTCTGTAACAGTTTGGATCTAGAGTGTCACCCCCTTTGAAGAGGGGGATGACCGCGGCAGCTTTCCAATCTCTGGGGATCTCAGACGTTACGAAAGAGAGGTTGAACAGGCTAGTAATAGGGGTTGCGACAATTTCAACGGCTAGTTTTAGAAAGAAAGGGTCCAGATTGTCTAGCCCAGCTGATTTGTAGGGGTCCAGATTGTGCAGCTCTTTCAGAACATCAGCTGTCTGAATTTGTGTGAAGGAGAAGCGGGGGGGGGGGGGGGGGCATGGGCAAGTTGCAGCGGAGGGTGCAGAGCTGGTGGCCGGGGTAGTGGTAGCCAGGTGGAACGCATGGCCAGCCGTAGCAAAATGCTTGTTGAAATTCTCGATTATTGTAGATTTATCGGTGGTGATAGTGTTTCCTAGCCTCAGTGCAGTGGGCAGCTGGGAGGAAGTGCTCTTATTCTCCATGGACTTTACAGTGTCCCAAAACTTTTTGGAGTTAGTGCTACAGGATGCAAATTTCTGTTTGAAAAAGTTAGCCTTTGCTTTCCTAACTGCTTGTGTATATTGGTTCCTAACTTCCCTGAAAAGTTGCATATCGCGGGGGCTATTTGATGCTAATGCAGTACGCCACAGGATGTTTTTGTGCTGGTCAAGGGCAGTCAAGTCTGAGGAGAACCAGGGGCTATATCTGTTCTTAGTTCTGTATTTTTTGAATGGGGCATGTTTATTTAAGATTGAGAGGAAATTATTTTTAAAGAACAACCAGGCATCCTCTACTGACGGAATGAGATCTATATCCATCCAGGATACCTGGGCCAGGTCAATTAGGAAGGCCTGCTCGCTAAAGTGTTTTAGGGAGCGTTTGACAGTGATGTGGGGTGGTCGTTTGACCGCGGACCCGTTACGCACGCAGGCAATAAGGCAGTGATCGCTGAGATCCTGGTTGAAGACAGCGGAGGTGTATTTAGAGGGTAAGTTAGTCAGGATGATATCTATGAGGGTACCCATGTTTATGGATTTAGGGTTGTACCTGGTAGGTTCGTTGATAATTTGTGTGAGATTGAGGGCATCTAGTTTGGATTGTAGGATGGCCGGGGTGTTAAGCATATCCCAATTTAGGTCACCAAGCAGTATGAACTCTGAGGATAAATGGGGGGCAATCAATTCACATATGGTGTCCAGGGCACAGCTGGGGGCTGAGGGGGGTCTGTAGCAAGCGGCAACAGTGAGAGACTTATTTCTGGAAAGGTGGATTTTTAGAAGTAGAAGCTCAAACTGTTTGGGCACAGACCTGGATAGTATGATAGAGCTCTGCAGGCTTTCTCTATAGTAGATTGCAACTCCACCCCCTTTGGCAGTTCAATCTAGACGGAAAATGTTATAGTTGGGGATGGAAATTTCAGAATTTTTGGTGGCCTTCCTAAGCCAGGATTCAGACACTGCTAGAACATCAGGGTTGGCGGAGTGTGCTAACGCAGTGAATAACTCAAACTTAGGAAGGAGACTTCTGATATTAACATGCAAGAAACCAAGGCTTTTACGGTTACAGAAGTCAACAAATGATAGCGCCTGGGGAGTAGGAGTGATACTGGGGGCTGCAGAGCCTGGGTTAGCCTCTACATCACCAGAGGAACAGAGGAGGACTAGGATAAGGATACGGCTAAAGGCTTTAAGAACTGGTCTTCTAGTGCGTTGGGTACAGAGAATAAAGGGGGCAGATTTCCGGGCGTTGTAGAAAAGATTCAGGGCATTATGTACAGACAACGATATGGAAGGATATGAGTACAGTGGAGGTAAACCTAAGCGTTGGGTAACAATGAAAGAGATAGCATCACTGGAGGCACTGATTGAGTCGGTCTCCGCGTGTATGGGGGGTGGGACAAAGGAGCTATCTAAGGCAGGTTTAGCTGGGCTGGGGGATCTACAGTGAAATAGTACAATAAGAAATAACCGAAACAGCAATAAGCAAACCATATTGACATGGGAGAGAGGCATAAAGCAATCACAGGTGTAATTTGAGAGAGCTAAGACAACAGCTGGTAATGGCGACACAGTTTGGGCTGAGGCTAAACATAAATGCCAGCCTGCCAGCCTGTAAACCCTGTTCTTTCCCACAAATAACGTAATAAATTTGCCAGAATATGTTACATCATCCCATAATATTGAAGGTAGTGCGATTTTACAGCTGCTTATCTTTAGGCATTTGGCCAGTAGCCACCCAAACTAGGCCTATCTGAAATATGAAAATTGTCAATCAAAACTGGAGGAAATGAAACAAGTTCTTTCTGATCAGTAATCTAGATATGAACACCCGCCTTTGCGCGCCAATGGTGATGACTGGTCATTGGTCAACAATCAAGACGCGCTTTT